GGGGGGGGGGGGGGGGGCTTCAATTCATAATTTTCCCGCCGGAACGGCGCCGCAAACTGGCGTCATTATCTTTTTGCCGGCCGACCGCAGGATTCCGGCCGCGAATCGCCCCTCGCTAACGCCTATCGCTTGTAGTTCATTAACGTCGCGCGTATCGTCCCACGGGAGAAAGGTGGTACGTAGACGCTCTCGAAATAATTCGTCCCGCGCGAGCACAGACTCCCTCTCTTTCTCTCTCTCTCTTTTTTGGTTGCATCATCTCCGATCAATTACCGATCCTCGTGTTTACACCGGTACACAGTGCCGGATACGACGTTTTGCGCGGGAATCTGTCCGTTCCGGGGACGCTTTTTCACTAGCTTTCTCGGCGATTTTGCTATTCGGGAGAGTGGAGTGGCGGTCGTTCAAACCAGGCTTTCTATTGGCAAGGATAGGTAAGATTACAGATCGGGATTATAAAGAATTTTTTTGCAAAGTTATTGTTTGTATAGCTTTTCAAAAAATATATAAACTATAAATTTTAACTTTATATATATAACTTTTATTATATATATTTATAGTTTATTATATTACATTTATTATATATATTTATAGTTTATTATATTACATTTATTATATATATTTATAGTTTATTTATAGTTTATATATTATATATATGTTAATAGTTAGATACACATGATGTTGTTATTCAGGAAAATGGAATGGTGGTCATTCAAAGTAGTTTTTGTATTGGCTAGGTTAAAGATCGGAATGTAAAGTATTTTTTTATAAAAAAACGTTAGAATTTCTAGTTTATATGTGTGTGTGCGTGTGTGTATGTATATATATTTAATTCATATACCATATAACGTTGAAATCTACGCTCATCACTCTCGATACGAAAAGATTGGTAAACTGGTCAGAAACGACGTCAACATTATCTGCCGATTACTTACACTCTCTGATATTTTTCACGGCTATCTTTAACCCTTGGATGAACTTTCAATTTCACTTCGACAATCGATGCCTATGTTTAATTGGTAAAACAGAAGCGAAGCTTCCTTCGCAGCGTTGGAAACCCACCGCGAGATAATGGACGATTATGTAAATCTTCAAATAATAACATCAACAGATAGCTGCGATCATTTAATTTAAAATCAGACGGCGGTTTCAAATATCTGCCTAAGAATTAAGTAACGGCATAATAAATTAAAATAGATGTCGTTTAATGGTATCGTTGCATTTAGGAAAAGATTTTCATTGTTTCACCTGTGACTTTGTAAATTATCTTTTCTCAGTGCAAGAACCAACTACGTATAATCCCCAAAAGTCCTCGAAAATCTCCCGACAATGTCCCAAAATCATCCCTTCCGACACTTGTCGGAACCAACGGTTACAGTAAGCCGGCAACAATCGAACGACACCGACACGACGAAACAGATGGAACATCTTATCAGAAACTCCAGTAGAAGCCAAGAGAAGAGGAGAGAGAGAGAGAAAGCGCGCGTCAAAACATATCGGTTATATTCCCCGAGATTTGTCTCGAGACAATTGACAGATTTGTAGGGCGGAGGTGAACGGCTGTGGAAACGAGCGATCTCTCGAGACGAGACAAAAGGCCGGTAAGATCTCGTTCTCGTTCTCGTTCTCCTCTCTCGTCGCGTCTGAATTTCAAATTTTCCACCGAGAGACCCGAGACTCCCCATCTCCTCCCCCTCACCCTTCGTTGCACGAAACCGCGTGCTCTTCCCGCTTCGGGAACTCGCGAGCCGAGGCTTTTGCGATTCCACCCTGACGAGGAAGACTCGTCCTTTGTGCGTTGATCTTCCATCTTGTGTTTCTTTTTCTGTCTCTCTCTTTCTCTTGCTCGCTAAGGGTCCCAATTAGTCTGGATATTCGTGGATTCGTCGGTTTCCGGCCGAGGACCGACAGGACCCACGAAATCGATTTTAATCCGGCCGATCGAGGATGCGCATTCGAAATAATTAGCTGATCTCGCGGAGATACCGCGGAGATTCCGCGAAACGATCGGTAGCGGAGGTGGCTGTCAGGTTCCTTTGTCGATTCGTTGCGTAACGATCCTCGGGAAGATTCGGCGGAGGATCACGAAAATTGGGACATTATACGACGTTCGAGTTTCTCGTTTGCGTTTAAAAGATTGCTTGGCTTCGCCAAGGATAATTCACCGAGATCGATTGTGAATAACTTTCAATGATCACGATTGTTTCAGCGGGGAAAAGTAATTTAATTCAGTTGCGAACGATCTTTAAACACTGTACGTTTGAAAGCAGATAACCATAATTTTTCACGTTACAACTTCCACTTATCGAAAGAAAAGAAAGAGATACTAGATACTATTTAATAAAATCAAAAAATTCGAAAAACTCGGGGGATATTATTCATTTTCTTTTGCTGTATTCTCTCGTCGGTATACGCGATAATTTGTTTTACTCTGAACATCAATGGTAGTAAAATCTAGATTGATCATTCCACGCAAAGAGCCTCAAGATTCTCAGAGTCTCTTAATTTTAAATTTCAAATGTCATTCCCCACTTGCCTTTTACCTTCAGAACGTTCGAAATTTATATTCGCGAAAGAGGAAACGTTTCGAACGGATTTTTCCCGAAGAGATCGCAAAACGAGATCCTCGATCGTAACGGAGGCAATTATAGAGCGTATAATTGACGAAGAAGAAAACTGAATTGAATGCACCGGCATTGAGAATCGACTGCGGATACGATTGTTAAATAAAAAAGGCCTTCCTTTCGATCGAGTTTCATGCAAATTACTGAAATAATTAGCTGATCTCGCGGAGATACCTTGGCAGAGGAGAGCGAGAGAGAAAGAGAGAGAGGAGGAGGTCGCGACGAGAAAAAGGCAAGGTAAAATCCAGCAGCTCGTCGCAGTTGGAGCTGCTCTTTGTTGCGTTGCGCAACGTTTCCATGGGCCACGATTTCTATGCGCTCCTATTAGTCGGCCCGATCGATAAACGAGCGCTCGTACGTTTTATTAGAAATCGAAATTCTAAGGAACGTTCCACGAAATCGGCTATATTTATCTCTTAGCTGTCCAAATGAATCAGCTGCTCGAACGCGAGGGCAATTAATTCAGACGACTTGACGTTCCTCCATCGGTTTCGATTGCATCGTGTAACTGCTTCTAATTTATTCGCGGGAAATTTCCCCGCGTTAGGTTATTTTCAGCAAGTGGATCTGTACTTCTGTCGTTCGACGTCGACGTCGGAGACAACAGTCCGTTTCAACCCTTTTCGTTGTTAATCTCAGACCGTTGGGTCTTGTATATACTGAATGAAAATCCGAAACTGTAGGATCATTTTTTATCTTTATCCTTAGTTTCATAAAATTTCGCCATTTTGAACTTGAATTTTTGATTTTCAGAAATGTCGCATTGCTCGCAATTTTTTCGCTAGTATTTAAAATTAATATTGCAGGAACAGAGCGTGTAAAACTCTCGGAAACGTAGGTATTACTTTCGGATCAGAAAATTTTCTGAAGATTGATCGACGAAAACCGCGGGGCCGATTTATCAGCTCTTGGGCGCTGAGAGGATTAAAGTGGAGGACGGTGATGCAAAGTTTGAAGGGTGCGCGATTCGGAGGAACACCCTCTGTAAGAGGCTATATTTCAAAATTCACGCTGCCTCCCCTAACTCGTTCGTCGAGCCTCGATTACGGTCGATTGTACTCCGTTTTCGTGGGCCACCCTAAATCGCGGTACGATCGAACAACAATGATTTATAAATTGACACGGAAAGAACCGATTCGCTATTAAAAGCAGCATTATAGCTACCTATTTCTATAGTTACGTTTCAAGTTAGTTTACCAGCGAAATGTCTCGAGCAACAATTTACAATTCTTCGTATAGGAAAAACACTATTCATTTATTGTCGACTGTGTTTAGTTAAAATATTCCATTCTCTGTTTCTAAACGTGCGAGATAATTGGAGATTCATCATCTGTTATTGCCTTTTTTTTTTCGTTTCAATCTCCTTCTCGTCCGATTTGAAACGCCGGTTTGTGTGTCCAAACCAGCTTGTGTAACCTAGAACTCTACGTGAAAAACGAAGCCAAAAAACGAAACGTGTAGAACATTCTACTTAAATTTCTAATAATGTATCTATACATATTCCATCGGTTGCTTTCAATTTTACAAAGTTGCGTCTATCAAGGGAGGAAGGGGGAAAAGCTTTTTATAACTTTGCCGTCATCCATTAATATTCATCCGAACTAATTGTAATTTCATAAAATTCCATTAATTGGCCTTAATTAAGAGTCGACGAATTGTGAAAACAGAAAATAGGCTGCGGGCAAGAAAGTAGGTGAACAACAATCGACGACGGCGCAGAAAATGAGGAAAGAGGTGAGAACGGAAAGAAAGAGCAAGAAAGAGGCGATTTGCAGTTGCAACACCTTTTTTGTAATAATCGTCCCCATTGTCTGCCGTCTCGGATTCCACGGAGCCGAAGACAAGAACCGGCCCTCTGTGCTCCCTCTTCTCTGTCTCCGCGTGGTCGGCGCTCCGACGAAGCGAGAAAACTTTGATTGCCTCTTTTAACGAGAGCCCCGCGCAATTATCAAGCCGCGACCTCAATAATTAGTGTTAACGATGATTCAATCGCGGCGAGTCATCCGCGCGCGCGCACGCGGACGCGAGTTCCGAGAGTTAGCTGCATTCCTTTCGCGGTGATTTTAGGTGACTGCCTCTTTCCAGCCGCCTGAACGTTTCCACCGCTAATAACGTCGCCGCGTCTCTCAATCAGCCCCTTTTTCTGCGATATTTTCTCTCGCTCGGTATTTTAATTCCGTACTTAACCTCAATGCTATTCGTAATTCACTCGTCGATCGTATCGTGAAAGTAAAAAAAACTTCTCAAACCGTTCTTTTCAAGGTTTTCATTTATTATTTTGAACGACTTTCTGTTATCAACGACTGATCGCTTTGATCAACACGCTCGCGTAAATGTTTCGCTTTTCTAAATTAATACTCATTGAAGGTGAAAATGAAGAAAATGTCCGATGTTGAAACAGGGACAGAAATTAAAAAATTTGTTTCGAAATATTAGCCTCGTAACGATCTGTTGTTTGAAACGAAGAACTTGCATGGAAGGAATAGAATTTGAATAGACGCGAATTTTCACGTCGGCGAATGTGTTGACAGAAAATTTGCTCTCGCAGCTTGTACCCAACTTCTCATACGTTTGAAACATTTTCCATTGTTACGATAAGCGACAACTCGTTCGCTGGTTGAATGTAAATTAATTGCACGGTGTCGAACGTCTCTGATTTATTCCAAATCCAGAATCACCATCTGGGTACATCGTCGTTGGTCTCTCTCTCTCGCTCTCTCTCTCTCTCTCTCCCTCGGAATACCTTTCCCCGATCAGAATTTCGGTACACGCGAAAATAGATGGCGGCGGGGAATCGGTGACCGATCGGTGGCACGCGGAGGGACTTCCGTTGAGCCGCTTGGCTAATTTTATTCTCGGAACAACGAAACGGCGCGGAGATGGCGAGGAACGTCGAACGCCGTCGGCTCCATTGAACGAGTCGTCGCCGCACGATTGCTATATCGCTTCTCGTCTCGCAAAGCGTGACAATCTCGCCTACCTCACAATCGGCGCGTTGTCCCCTCGCGCCGGCGAAAAATGAAAAAACGCGACGAGCGAGCCGATTGGCGGCCGGCCAGGACGCCCGGTTCAAAGACGCACGCACGCGTTGTCATCGGTCCGGCAAATGGCAAACGACAAACGACAAACGGGTGAAACAGCGCCGCGCTGAACAAAAGATCGTGTCGGTACTCACCGTTTAATGGCGCGTGATGAGAGAAGTGCGAGGGGAAGAAGCTGGCCGTGGCAGCGGCAGCAGCGGCCGCCGCCGCCGCCGCCGCTGCACCCTGATGCCCGCCACCCCAAACCGCCGGATGTAGCCCGGCCGGGATGCCGGAGATGCCTCCCAAACTGGAGAATCCGGCGATGTACGCCGGAGTCGGTCTGACCGGCGTCGGGCTGCTCGCCTGTTGGTGCTGGTGTTGAAGATCCTCCACGTCGACCAAGCTGTTCTCGTCCTCGTCCTCGATGTCCTCCGATGGTTCCGAACATCTGGACCTGGCTCCATCGTGGCAGCTGCTTCTCGGCGATTGAGGCCCAAAGTCCGAATGACCGACCCCCGAGGAGGGGACTTTCGGAGGCGGGGAACATTGCACGACTTCGGACGTGGATCCACAGTCCGCGGAGGTTTGCACCACGTAGTCCAGAGCTCTGGGCGTCCGTTGGTTCGACCCAGGTGATCCCACCCTCGTGTCCACCTCGATCTCGGGGAACCTGGTTAACGTCCTTCCATCTATCAGGGAGCTTCTGGACGTGTATTGAGTCGATCTGTGTTCCTGAATACCGGGAGACACCGACAGGTATCTCGATCTGTAGTCACCTGGTGAATACTTTTGCAACGTGGAGTTTGGCAGCAGTTGTTCCTGTCTCACGGGCGAGTAAGAGATCAACGGTGAGGATCTGGGTGACACGGAGGACGCCTCTTGCCTGGAGGAGTCCGATTTCTTGGTGTCGGCCAGCAACGCCGCGACGGAGAAGCTCAATCGATGCGCTGCCGGTTTCGACGCGTTCGCCTGCTGCGGCGCCTGTGCCTCGTTGGAACCTGGACTGCTCGATGGAGGCGTCACCGGGGATGTCATCCTTAGTACTGTCATTCTTGGACCGCGATTCAACACTTCTTCGAACCTGTATTCCCTTCACTCAGAGCCACTCTGTCTGAGCTTTTGCCAATCTTCTTCGATCTTATCTTATCTTCTATAATACTCTCATCTTCGTAATGTGAAATACTGTCTCTTTTGACAAACTGTCTCACTTGTCTCACAATTTCATCGACACACAGTCTCAGTCTCGGATAGAAGGGGAAAAAAAAAAAAAAGAAGAGAGGAGGAAAGAAAAGGAAAACTGTGTCTGAACTGTCTGAAGTCAGACGACGACGATTTCCCCAGATCGTGATGACGATCACGAACGCGCGCAGAGTACGACGCGCGACGCGTTTTTTGACAGGTGAGAGAACCACAGGGGGGTTGATCGACGGATCGATGGATCTCCGGCCAACTGACCTCGACTAGCCTCTACTCGACTCGAGCTCTCCGTGTGGACTGACTTTGACCATCGCCGGCTGCGGCGCTCGGACTTTTTCGTTTTGCGGGTGGAGGCGCCTCGCGAGGTTAGTGGGGATCCCAGGCCGTGTTGCTTGGAGAGAGACGATGCAAGGAGAGACGGTGCCGAGAACCGCTCTCGCGTAGAGGGGGGGGGGGCGAAAACGCGAGAAAGGGGAAATCCAAAAGTGGGCGGCGGCCTCCAGGAGGCAGAAGGGGCATGGCTCTGTTGGATCGCTCCGCCTTCGTGGCCGGGTTCCTCTGCGGTGGAACGGAGCACGAACCCGCATCAGCTATAGAGACACCGTTGATTTTTCCCTGCCAGGGATAAGTTTCTCTCTTGCAAATGCTCTCGTGCGAGCTTGGCTTCAGGGGGAGTGCAGGGATTACCCGTGGATACGGTTCTCTCTGGTGGGGGGCTACTACGTCCTTTGAAAGAGCGAGAGAGAGATTTTATCGTTTGACTAGCGTCTCTACCGTGGAAGACGGTAATGAGCGTAATTGACCAATTAGGGCCGGTGATTAAGAGTGGAAAAAATGCTGGCTCGCCTCGAGTGTCGTCGATCATCATCGCGTCGTTATTGATCCGCTCGCGAGAATCCCTTTTGGGGGATCTCGGGGTGAAACTGGTTACGTAACTGACGACTGTGTGTCTTTCCTCTCCCGGGCTGTGTGTGATCGATCACGCTCCAACTGAACAAACAGATTATAATCCCAGCCATCCGCGCAATTCGGACTCTTTAATCGTCTGCCGTTCGAGGTGAACAAACGGGCAAGGGAATTCGCAGCGATAACAGGAAAGGAGAGACCTTCTGTTGCGCTCGGTGTTCGGACGAAGCGAAATTCCTATCATCCTGTATGTTCGAACGATGTTACACGAGTAAAAGCAAAGGAGGCGGCTGGTTTCCTAAAACGATCGGGAGCTGTGCAAGCCACGTTGCGAGGGACAACGCGGATGTGTTGAAAACGGGATCGTTTTGCATCGATCCCCGGCAAAGATATCGATCCCCTTTGCCGCGGCGGATGAAGTGGCAGCGCGAGACGGCGGAAGTTGGCGCGAATGAAATTTACGGCTGCCAGCCAATTCCGCGCAAATGGAAGAGGCGCATCTATGAGGTTTTATTCGGCCCGGTTTTATCGCCGCAACCTATCGGCAGGCATTTGTTTCTGCTTATCGGCGGGACTACGTCAAGCTCCCGTTTCGGCGGGCGGGTCGGAGGGGAGAGAAGGACCATCGTAAATATGACGGACGGACGCGACGATGGGATCTCAGCGGCGTCGGAACAAACGAGCGCCGCGTACACCCCGAAAAATCTCCGACTCGGCTCGATCCACGGGGATGAACGACGAGCAAGAGACCTGGAGCGCCGACAGGGCTTGCTGCTCGTTCGACTGCTGCGAATCGATATACCTGGCTGCGCGAACAAACGAAATCCAAGAGGAGAAAGGGCTGCCTGCTCGTGCACACAGGGTCTACCTTTCTTTCTTTTTCTTCTTCGTCGCCGCGTTTCTCCATCCCCGTTTCTCCATCTCTACTCTTTCACGTGCGTCTCTTTGCCGGTGGGTAGGCTAGCGTTGTCTAAATTAACCCTTTCGCATATCAAATTCACTCGTTTGCAAGATCGATTCATTCTACAAATTCGTTTTATCGAATTCGTTTACCACTGTGATAAATGTAAAATTCGACGTGAAGTTGTTTCATTCCCGGATGAAAATTTTATATCACGTAGGTGATGATGATACTTGAACAGAAAGTAGCATTAAAGAGACATGAAATTAACATAAAATGTTAACTATACGTATATATATATGTAGATTCATAGTAGTTGTACATACATGTTCGTATAATAACTATGACAATTTGCAAAAGTTAATAACAACGTCCACTAAACGTACATGGTTTGAAACATCAGCCAATATTTCTTGCGCGAAATTTAATTTGTGAAGAAAGCTTCGTCAACGGAGAAATAATAAAGTGTATTATATTTCATTATTTCAAGGTGAATTTGATCTGCGAAAAGGTGAGTTTAATTCGTAAAAAGGGGTTAATTTATGGCGCAAGAAGGTGAACACGATCTACAAAAAAGGAAGGGTTAATTCGGAGTGCAAAAACCTGCAAGTCTCTCGTTAGAGTATTTGCTTGGATAAACCCGATATTAGATGGCGCCAGCCTGTGGTCAGATAGTAGGGGCCGTTTGATTCTATCGCAGTAGATTTAACCCGGTTATGGTCAGACCGGCCGCAACTGCGTTATATCCTCAATGTGTTTTCATTAAATTAATCCATTTGCTTCGCGATAATGTTTTGATGATTTATTTCGTCGGATTCGGGCGAAATTCTCGATGATATACTCAGAGTTTTAGAGAATTCAAACAGCTCTCGAGTAAAAATTGCCTCGATTCTTTGTCTTCGCGTCGCGCCGCGTTCCGCGTACACTCGCCCTCGAAAATTTGAAGCAAATGAAATAACGATTCCCGGAAGAAAGCAGAGATATTATTATTCACAGCAATTGAAATTCTTGTTGATTACGTTTAAAAATCAAAATTTATTGTCGTAGCACTGAAATTTCGATTAATTCTTAAAAATCTAAATTTCTTGTTAGAAAGATGCAGAAATGAAAATTACTTTCACAATGCCTCTAAAGATTTTGTCAAATTAACAATTAGAACTGCAGCGTTGAAATTTCAATTGAATTCCATTTAAAAAGTTTTTCGTCGGGAAGATTTAGAAACGACAATTACTCTTATAATTCCTGCGGAGATCTTGTCAAATTAATAATTAGAATTGCAGCGTTGAAATTTCAATTAATTCTTAAAAATCTAAATTTCTTGTTAGAAAGATGCAGAAATGAAAATTACTTTCACAATGCCTCTGAAGATTTTGTCAAATTAACAATTAGAACTGCAGCGTTGAAATTTCAATTGAATTCCATTTAAAAAGTTTTTCGTCGGGAAGATTTAGAAACGACAATTACTCTTATAATTCCTGCGGAGATCTTGTCAAATTAATAATTAGAATTGCAGCGTCGAAATTTTAATTTAATTCCATTTAAAAAATTTTTCACCGGAAAGATTCAGAAATGAAAATTACTTTTATAATGCCTGGAGATTTTATGAAATCAACGATTACAGTTTCACTCATTTCTCAGAAAGCAGAGAGCTACGGAATTTTGCGCTCGAGTGTACGCTCCCATCCGACGCTGTTTTCAATCTGCAGATTACCATCGGCTAACGAAAAGCCAGAGGAACGGCGGCCGTTTCGGAATCAGCGGTGAATCTCCTTTTATATTTCTGCTCGAAAAGCGCGAATAACCCGGCGCGGGAAAATGAAGCACGACGGCGATTAATTGTCTGAAACTCGAGGGCCGAAAATGCGCATGGAGGCCGGCCAGAGTACGGAGGACCCCCGAGGTGTTCGATCGAGTCTGTCGATATACCGCGGCCGGAGTAAAAGCTCATAGACGCCTCGGGGTCCGCGCGGAATCGGCCGCGGCAATAAATTTTCACTCTCGCGCGAACTTCCCTGCCGGCGCGTCTCTCGCGCGTTTTCTCTTTGTCGGTGTCGATGAGTCGCTCCGCGCTCGATATTTACAGCCTCCCACCTCCTCGAAACTGCAGATTAAAACGGTAATTGTGCGTAGTTTCGGCCCTGGACAGATCGGTCTCCAGCCGGGGAAATCGGTTTACAGCGCGCCCCGTTGTCGTATTTTACAGAAAAGGAAAAATTCGGTGAGCCACAACTGGACGATAATCGCTCCGCCCTCTCCTGCAGATCGCGACTAAATTCTGAAACACAGGCGACTTTTCGTAATTTTGAAAAGTCGCGCGAGGGAAATTGCAGATTTATAAGGAATGGAGGAAATAGTGCGAACATTTCTTGCATATAAACTGCAGTTTTTTATACGGTTTATAGTTATACAGTTTTTTTTTTTTTTTTTTTTTTTTTTTCAGGCCAAATTTAAAGATGGCAAAAATATATGAAATGCTTGGTAGTTAAAAAATGAAGCAACATATTTAAATTTAGTAGACAGCTAAAATTATAAAATTTTTTACGATGAACGTAGATGTGGTGTTGTGTGATATAATATAATATATCGCCGTAAAAGGAATAATAAAATTTCAAAAGAAAAAATTCTTGAAAATAGAGGCAATCCATGAGTTAAATTATTCGAGATAATTCACATAAATTAAACTTCTTATTGCTTGTACGAAAGTTTATGAAATGGCGAAGGAAATTTTTCAGAATATATATATATTCTACAACAATCGATCGCTGAAAAATCACAACTTCGCCAAAGAAGATCGTAAAAGCAAATTCGACAAAGCGAAATGAGATGTCTTTCGGTCAGCAACCTGTCATTAAAGTTTTTGCGATGTCTTAATCACTTCATGATCGTCGTGAGTAACAAAAGTGGGAGGAGAGTTCGCGTCAATCACGTGGCTATCGAAACTCTCTGAAATTAAACGCGGTTCCGAAGAAGCAACTCTGCGAATGTTTCCACGAACGGTGGAATTAATTCTCTTTAACGTCTTTTGGAATTTTACCGAAAGCAGGAATTTTACCGAATCTCGAATAATTGGAATTGATGCAAAATACACACCTGCCAAACAAACTGAGAATTTCTAACGAACGAAACGATCCAAAAGATTCTATCGGGATTCCCGCTAGAACGTATTATTAGACTATTGCTCTTGCGAGATGTTCAACGACGCAGAAATTTGTGCAAAATGTGCAAAAATAAAATACTTACTTGTTGCAATATTTAGATCCCTTCTTTGTCTTCGTTCGTAAGTTTATTTTTGCCTCGGACGATCAATCGTTCAGTTGTAAGATGAGATAAATTATTTGCAAAATGTATTTGAAATATTTAAATATTTGCAAATATATATTTGTATGATTTAATATTTGTACTAAAATATTTATACATTCGTGTAATTTTTATTTTATTTATAAAATATTTATAAATTTTGTTTACAAAATAATTATATTAAAATATTTGCAAACATATTTTACTGTAGATACGTGAGAATAATTCGAAGGGAGGAAAAAACTTGAGTAAAGAAAATATTACGAT